AACTAGCATTCGGGGGTTTCTTGGTGAACCAAGCTTGAAAAGTACTACTGCTGACATAACTTTTTCCTGTCGCATATGTGATAGAGGTCACGGAACGAGTCATCCGATACATTTTGTTTTTCAGATTCTGGAGAATATATTCTATGCAAAGATTCAATCCGTCCATCTTCACTGATTACTCCATTTAAATATACTTATATATTTTGAAGAAAACAATGAAAACTACATAAAATACCTCTTTAAAAAATAAAAAAAGGAAGTAATCACAGAAATGAAACAACCTCAATAGAACAGAATTTCCCTCTCACCTTGATAATGATCTCAACAAAGCCAGTAGACATAAAACTGAAACAACAATGGGGTCCACTCTTACTCTGAAGATAATTTCAACAAAGACGGCTGTAGATAAAGACTTGAAACAACAACAAAAGAATACTCCCTCACCTTGATGATAATCTTAACAGCAGACAAAGAAGTGAAACATCAACACACCCTTCCCCACTTCCTTTACCTTGATGAAAATCTCAATGGTGAAGACAGTGGTGAAGAAGTAGTCAAAGTTGTTTAATATCACATTCCTAGGAGACTTGCTCCGCAGGGGATCTTCTGCTGCTAGCATAGCACTAGAGATCAGGATACAAGCCAGTACCACGTTCCCAAAGTAGGGGTGGTTGCAAATTTTGTGGCAGATGATGCGGAATCTGAGGATGTAGAAATGTCAAATGTCAATGCATTCTAACCAAAAAGAACTTGTGAAAAAAAAGACTCCTCAATTATACATTTACAACAATTGCTATGGTCTATTAATGCTAGCCCTATATTTAAGAGACCGATCGGCACTCAGTGGGCGATGAGGTCAACATCACACTGGCCAGGACCTTGACCTGCCACCCATTTAAGGCTTAGTCCACCTGGAAGCCAAGGTCATATTTTGAAAACAGTCCAGCTCTGTTCAGATATCTTCCACTTCTTCTTCTTTTTGTTTTCTTCTTTTCTGCTTTTGTTCACTTGAAATAGTTTATCTATATCTGCAATTCTGTCTCTAGTATGAACTTCGTCTTTTGTTAATTTAATCAGCCACCTGTAAAGTTTGGCTTGCGCCCGGTGTTTCTCTTGGCCAAAAGTTTTCCTTGATATGTTGTGTCTAGGACTGTATTGGAGGGCGTGATCTGTTGTCTCGGGTGCTAATCCACATGTATACATGGCTGAATCACCAAAGTTAAATGTTCTGCACATGTGGCTGCGAAGTTGTTCTAAGGCATAACATAATTACTTGCTCTGGTCTGTCCATTATATAGTAATTGTCTTTTGAGAGTTTTGGTCGCTTTCTGATTGATTTTATTATTCTTTTCTTCTGTTGTTCGGAAGTGAACTCAAAACCTTCAGATCCACAAGCAAGCCTTTAACTGCTACACCACAGTGGCTGCCTTCAACTACACATGGCATGTCCTAACTCTTTCGATGTCAAAGAACTCACCATATGTTCACTGGTTACTCTTGACATGGTATATATTTCTGTCCCATTCTTCAGTTATGTTAACACCTTCTATCTCAATTGTTATTATAACTCCTTTCATCTCAAAACCTGTATTCTTAAGATCTAAAACTCTTCATAACTTTTCCTCTGAGGTGTATGATTTTTGCTTTAACAGATAAAGCCCCTTTAATTACATAGATGATTTTGTTACATTATGTTATAACAATTAACGTCACTGCACACTAGGCGGACCAACTGGCAAGCAATGCACCAAAGCATGTGGGAAGAAGCATGGACAGAGCAGATATCACCAACGCTGTATGGACTGGACTAGTGGATAAAGACGAATCTCTGACACTAACACAACGGCATAACATGGGAGTAAATCATACTGAAACACGTTTATGCTGCCTTGGAGGCCAAGATAGGAGACATAATAACCAACTTCTCATGGGAACTTTTTGGCAAAATTAAAATACTCAAAATTTTAAAACAATAAATGGTGGCCGAAAGGTCGTTGTGTTTGGAAGCTCGCTCTCCTTTGAGATACGCCTAGCCAGATCAAAGGGAGACAGAACAAACAGGAAACACCAAGAATGAAGAAGGAAGAAATGCACCAGTGACAACAGGACGAGCGGTTTGATACGGAGGGAAGCATTAAGCCAGAAATGGCACAAACACCAGTATTCAGTCACGAAAGTGACGCAAATAACCCAGACCACAAATATAGGCGGAGACTGTTAGCAGCCTAGGCTAGCTAGCAGCAGTCTGAACGTGGTCGAGCTTTTCTTTTTTTTTCTTAAAAGGACTTGGACTTGGACTTGGGAACAATTAGTAGAAGTACTTTGGACTGGCTGCTGCACCGGAGAACTAAGCACGCATATATATGATCTATACAATATTAGGCCACATATATATATCATCATCATCATCATGTAGCAGGTCCTTTGCAGAACATCACTCTCATCATAGCCTGCCTGAAAGAAACTCGGTCTCTCGCCAGTTCTCCCACCTCATGCACTTTCACACTCAAGGAGTCACTTATATCATGTGCCTATCTTCGTGTTGGTCGGCCCCTGCCCCTCCTTTCTGGTACCATGCCTTCTACTATAATTTTTTCCAATCCGTCGTGGCGCTTGATATGACCAAAATATTTCAGCTTTCGAGAAAGGATGCTGTTTATTAGCCAATCTTCCTTGATGTTCAGATCTTTTAAGATGTCAATATTTCTCAACCTATATATATATATATATATATATATGATCTAAACAATACTGAATGCTAAAGCTTGTATATATGTTATCTAAACAATATTGTATGCTAAACCAGATATATATATATGTACTAAAATACTGTATACCAAAGCTTGTATAGATGTTATCTAAACAATATTGTATGCTAAAGCTTGTAAATATGATATCTAAACAATATTGTATGCTAAACCAGATATTTATATGATCTAAACAATACTGTATACCAAAGCTTGTATATATGTTATCTAAACAATATTGTATGCTAAAGCAGTTATATATATGATCTAAACAATACTGTATACCAAAGCTTGTATATATGTTATCTAAACAATTTTGTATGCTAAAGCAGTTATATATATGATCTAAACAATACTGTATGCCAAAGCTTGTATATATGTTATCTAAACAATATTGTATGCTAAAGCAGATATATATATATATATATATATATATATATATATATATATATATATATATATATATATATATATATATATATATATATATATATATATATATATATATATATATATATATATGATCTAAACAATATTGTATGCTAAACAGAGCAAACCTGTTGGTTGGTGAAAATATGAAGAGGGATGAGTACGGTGGGATAGGCTTAATGCGAGAAGAGATGTTAAGTTCTGAAATTCTTCTCGGTCTTGGTGAGGAGGGCTCCTCCTCCTCCTCTTCTTCCTCATCATCTTCTCCTTCCTCATCTTCTGTTCCTTCTTCCTCGCTTTCTTCTTCCTCATCTGAAAACAGAAAGAAATATTTTCATATGTGTTAGAGCAGGAGTTTTCAAACATTTTTCGCCGTGGCAGTCTTGTGAGGCTAAACAGAATTTGCGGTACACCTACACTCAGAGCGGTTGAAAAACCAGGAAAAGAAGGGGGGACAAAAGTAGAGATTTAATGTTTAGTTGTCTTTAATGCGATTGATAAAACTATTTGAACGAATTTGTCATTATATCCTTTTCATTTTTATTTTTAGAAATTCTCTCTATCATGGATGACCCTCCCTGAAGAGTTACAGTGCAGCATTTATACATTTCTCAACCAAAATGTTATCACAACTTTACTTATCCACTGCACTTTCAGGAATACAGATGGAGGATCGGCCGCACTTTGAGATAAATACAAGGACAGTTCTAAGCATGTTACGGTAGGCATTTTATGCAGTTGATACACGTTGAGTGTGAAACAAGAATAAACTCTTTTCGACAGTGGTGAGGAAAGACAACTTAAATTTTAACTTTCAAGTATTTTCATGCCTTCTTCAATAATGTCGCAATTTTTTAGCCAACTATTCTTGATTTATGCCGCAGCACCCCTGGCATACGCTCGGAGCACCCCAGGGGGCCGCGGGACCTAGTTTGAGAACCTCTGTGTAGGAGTGTTTATTATTTGGTTGGCAACTTTCTGTCTTTCCAAGGTACAGAATTACCTTGTGTTATGAGAAAGCATGAAAACTGAAGTCCAGGACAACAGTGTCAACCATGTCCTGCAAAAGCAGAAAAAGACTGGTCAATAAAGGTGGAGGTAAAATGAACTGACATTTCAGATTTCAGTACAGATGTTATGAAGATTGAAGGGGATCAGAATGAGGATTGTTACAACTGTAATGCAAATATGTGGCATCAGTGAGGTGTTGCAAAATGAACGTGTTGGAAAGTGAAGTGTTGGAAAGTGAAGTGTTGAAAAACTAAGTTTTAGAAAGTGAACTGTTGCAAAATGAAGTGATAGAAAGTGAAGTGTTGGAAAGTTAAGTGTTGAAAAACTAAGTTTTAGAACGTGAACTGTTGCAAAAGGAAGTGTTGGAAAGTGAACTGCTGGAAAGTGAAGAGTTTAAAAATGAAGTGCTTAAAATGGAAGTGTTAAAAAATGAAGAGTTGGGGTGAAAAAAAAGTGTGGGAAAGTGAAATGCTGGAAAATTAAATTGTATGATCTAAAGTTTTTTAAAGCAAAATGTTGGAAAATTAAGTATTGGATCCCTGTGTGAGTTTAGGAGCTCCCCTTTGGGGGGGGGGGGGGGGGGGGGGGGAGGAGAAAAAAGTCCTACTGTCCATTAAATGTCACAAAAGGCGAATAATTTGGGGTTTGCTAAAATTGAATGTGCTGAGCCAAAAGGCGCAGATATAGCAGCCTAGCTGTAAACCACAACACAACTTTCCACCCCACTGCCTAGTAAAAGGAGAAGTGCAGAAGAAGAATTGTCGGAAAGGGAAGTGCTACACTGTTGAGAATGACTGAACATTCTGGTCTTACCTGGCAATGGAGCTTTGTGGTTACTCTTGTAATCTCCAGAGGTGATGTGGTCCGGAGTCAGATCCAAGCGGACATGGTGATCTCCAGGGGTGCTTTCTCTTCTGTAGGATCTGTGAATTCAGTAGAAACTCTGGTCACATGGTTAGTTTTTGGAAGAAACTATTTTCAGTGACATGACAGGCCATGTTATTTAGTGCCAAGACAGTTTGACACTTCTGTACATATCAGCCATTACTGACTTGTGACATGTCTATAAGTGTATTATGGGAAGATAATATGTTGGTTTTTTTCTTATCTTAAACTCTGTCATTATGGGAAGATAATATGTTGGTTTTTTCTTATCTTCCACTCTGTCATTATGGGAAGATAATATGTTGGTTTTTTTTTCTTATCTTCCACTGTCATTATGGGAAGATAATATGTTGGTTTTTTTCTTATCTTCCACTCTGTCATTATGGGAAGAGAATATATTGGTTTTCCCTTATCTTCCATTCTGCCATTATGGGGAGACAATATGTTCGTTTTCCCTTATCTTCCACTTTGCTATTATGGGAAGAGAATATGTTGGGTTTCCCTTATCTTCCACTCTGCCTTTATGGGAGGACAATATGTTGGTTTTCACTTATCTTCCACTCTGCCATTATGGAAATATAATATGTTGGTATTTTGTTATCTTCCACTCTTCCATTATGGAAAGATAATACGTTGGTTTTCCGTTATCTTCCACTCTGCCATTATGGAAAGATAATATGTTGGTTTTCCGTTATCTTCCACTCTGCCAATATAGAAAGATAATATGTTGGTTTTCCCTTGTGTTTCACTGTGTCTTTTACAGTATATATTTAATATCATGTTACATCTGCATTTGAGAACACACAAAATGAATATCTGGAATATCTTCATTAACATCATCTGGAATCATAGCCTCAAAAATATGTGAGCATTTAAAGTCAGCCATCTCACATGATCACCAGTCTGAAAAAAAAAATAATACATGCACGCACGCACACATGCACACATGCACGCACGCAAACACACACATATATATCATTTATTGGCACCTTTCCGTCTTTCCAGACGATTTTGTTAAACTGTGCTATGTGGAGGTATGGAACACAGTCTATGGCGATGGCAAGTGTGATTAACCGCCCAGATTATGAAAGGTCTTCCACAGTTATAGCATGGGATTTCAGGACCCATGTCAACATTTGTGTTTAGTCTGTCTCTTCTCAGACGCTCAGCTCACATCCTTTCTGTAATCATTTCTTCCTTCATTCTCATTCCTTTCCTGATGTGCCCCCTCCATACAACACGGTCCATGGCATTTTGTTTCCCCCATGAGTCTACCTCAATACCTGTATCATTCATGTTTCACTTGCATACATCTTTTTAAGGTAGTAGAGGTCAGCCTCAACATCTTCTACCCCTCTTTAGTTCATCATAAAGGATGTCCTTAGGGACTACCATCCTCCATTCTCCATGTGTGACCCAGCCAACTGAGCCTTCATATACTGAGCATTGAGAAGACTGTTGTAGTACCTGCTCTTTCCAATACCTAAGAGTTTGTGATCTTGTCCTTCAACTTAATGCCAAGTATTCTTCTTAGCATCACATATAGATGCTATTTAGCTGTCTCTCCTGGTGCAAGGAAGTTGACCAAGTTTCACCTCCATAAAGCAGTGTGCTGAGAACTCAAGCCTGATAGACAATAATTTTTGTTTTAATCATGAGCTTTCTGTTCTCCCAAACTCGTTTTGTTAATCTGCTCATTGTTGCTGCTGCTTTATCTAACCAGGTGTTGATTTTCTGATCCAGCGATAATTTGCTCTCCACTGTGAATCATAGACAGGTAAAATGGTTTACTGTCGCCAGCTCTTCACCATCAATGTAGAATGCGGGTCTATCATTATCACCTTGCACCATAACCTTTGTCTCCTTTTTGCTGACTTAGTCCAAATTCACAGCATGTTTACATATAGTAAGTAAAAGTAAAGGAACTTTTTCAACGCCATTCAGGCATATTGAGTAGATCGGGTTAGATCTATATTTTATAGACCAAATGGCACTTGGTGGGTGATGTAGTCGGCATCATGTCGGCCGTCTTTACTTCCCAGGACTGTACCTGGTAACCACTCAAGGCTGGGTCAACCTAGGAGCCAAGATGATTTTTGAAAAAAGTTCGGCCTCAGTCAGGAACCGAACTAACCACTTCCCGATCTGTAGGCACAAGACTAGCTGCTATACCATGGCAGCTCCTAAATATACATATAATAATGTATATATTTTTACATACAAGTACATATATATATATATATATATATATATATATATACACACACACACATCCATATATATATATATATACGCATGTATGGGTGTGCGCGAGCTAGCCCCAAAAGAACAAAGATCTTTCCCAGATCCATCTGATCAGAGAAATCTTGAAGACCTACCTGAGCAACAATCTCTCATCCAAGTAACAGAACACAGACTCTCACAGAAGCAAAAACAAAAAACACAAATTTTATATATAAACAATTTAAAAAAGATCTCTCATAGATGCAGCATAATATAAATATCCAACAGGTAACACACAACAAGGATCTCTTCAGATCAATCCGAACAAACAATGATCACATATGTAATTATCACATCTTCGACAGACAAGTACACAGATACCTTTTACTCTTCAAGCTGGGCTGCCTGCTGAGCTGGATGGAAGTCTTCTCTGCAGCTTCCCCGCTATCGTTGCCATTCACATCTAAGCCTTCTTCATCTTTTCCCTGGATAACACACAAACAAACAAGCAGAGGTCAACTAATTCACATCACTCGGCAAAGCATCTGTGTATGCTCAATGCCAAAATTAAAAAATAAAACAACTGGTAGGGGCTGGTTACGGTAGTATGCACCAACTGACAATACAGCAAGGTAAAGATTAGAACCAATCTTTTCTAGATCAAGTTACCTAATAACAAGACATAGCATAACCCTTGACCCCTTAGGGTCATGGAAGTGTGTTAATGAAAGTACTAGCACATAAAACCCACCATCTTTCTATCTTCTGCCTGTTGAACAAGTGTATCATAATAATGTATATTATCACCTGATTTGTTTTTATTGTACAGTGAATATATAATGAGATCTATCATAGATATACCATGATTTTTTGTTGGTGGTCATAACATAAACAACCTGCGTTATGCTGATGACACCATCTTGATAGCAAATCAAAAGAACTACATGAATTGATGTATACTGTGGTGGTAGAAAGTGATAAAATGGGCCTCCGTTGGAATAGTGGGAAGACAGAAGTTATGGTGATTTCTAAGAAAAGAAAAGTACTTTAAATGTATAATAGAAGTCAAAGGCATTATTTTGGGCACATGGATAACATTCGATGGAAGAGGTTTCACAGAGATCGAAAACAGAACAGGACAAGCCAAAACTGCATTTTTAACATGAAAAACATTTTATGCGATAAATCCATATCTCTGGAGGTAAGGAAAAGAATTAATTCATTCAGTAGCATGTCCCTCGCGGACCTCGCTGCCATAACAACACTCCGGAAAACCTTCCTATCCTGAGCAAGATGTCCTGCGTCTGATACACCCATCTGGAGATCATCTGCCACATCCTGCACCCATCGTCTCCTTGGCCTTCCTCTTCCTCTCTTCCTAGGCATATACCCCTCCATTATTGTTCTCTCTAGACTTCCATGACGTTTCAAGTTTTCAAAATATTTCAATTTTCTTTGTTTTATTGTCTTTACTAGCCAACCCTCTTCAATATTCAGCTCTTGAAGTATGGATGCATTTGCTCTTTTCTTTACCCAAGATATTCTTAGAACCTGTCTGTAACATTTATATTCAAATGCATTTATGCGCTGTTCCGCTTGTTTAGTAAGTGTCCAGGTCTCACAGGCGTATGTTGCAATGGGAAAGATGCAAAAGAATTACTGCATGGGAAAATTACTAGGAAAAGAATTACGGCATGCTATATATAGCCAGTTTTAATATATGGCTGTGAATCCTGGACAAATAATAAACAAGCCTACTATCTTGAAGCATCAGAGATGTGGTTTTACTGAAGAATCCTTAGAATTCCTTGGACAGCTAAGAAGAGCAACCCATATGTTTTAAAAGAGGTGAGTCCTCAGAGACAACTTATCATAAACATCAGAAAAACACAGTCATCACATTTTGGTCATGTTATGAGAAAAGGGAAGAATGGAACATATTGTGACCTCTGGAAAAATCAGTGAAAAGAGAGACAGAGGAAGACAATGCAAGAAGATTCTTGAGGGCTTTTTGTCATGGGATGGAGGGGTGTCAAGACAAGTACTGATACATGCAGCTGTGGACAACAGATTGTGGAAAGGCATGATCACCCACGCCAGTCTGCCAGGCACTTGAGGATGATGATCATAATTTAGTCCTATCCATTTCCTAATGTTTTCATTTCAGGTTCTTCTTTGCTGCCCTCTTCTCTGACTACTCCCCATTGCGACTGTTGGCTTCGGTGCCTCTAGTAGCTGCCTCATGCATTTACTGTGTGTGCACACTGCTGGATTGTGCCAGGACTAAATGATTGTTGTCCAGTTTTTCAAATAGAACAGCAAAATAAATTTCATTTGATTTCACTGGCACAGGAACAGAGTAGGTAAAGTTGAAAACTCGACTATACCTACTAGAAATCTTATATTTTACACTGCGCAATCAAAATCTGCCAGCTTCAACTGAAAACAATGGAAACAATTCTCACCTCCTGATCTTTGCTTGGACTTATACTCTTGGATCTCCGTAATGACTTTTTCCTTTCTTTCTCCTCCTCCTTCTGTTCCTCAATTTCTGTCAAGCTCTGGGCATCTGCCAAGTTGTCTACAGCGATGGCCAAGAAGACGTTCAGCAATATATCTATGCTGTGGTCAAGGACTAAACCTAATCACTCATATGAAGTAAATACAGTTAGTACCAACCTACACACTGTACAGCCAAGTCAAGGACCCTTCTCACGCCAGTCGCAAATCAAACATGATGCCAAACTCAGATTTTTATAAGAAATGCTAAATACCAACCAAAAAAAAAAAAATGTGGCTAGAAAGCGCAACCATGTTCTCAATCTTGGAGGGATCAATGTTAAACAAAGATTTTTTCAATTTTATTAATTCTAGCATTTATTTTTAAGTGGTTCTTATTTCTCCCCTTCTTTTTCAGGCTTTCTTAGTTATTTCGTTTCATATTATAGCCCTTTATTTTCATATTTTCCTCCCATTACATACTTGGTTGAGCTTGGTTTTTTAAGAAGCCTTGTTGTCTTTTCCACTGAGTTTTCTGGTCACTTTTTTATTTTTTTCTCTTCAGTAAGCTTTCCAGTCACATTTTGTGTTGTATTTAGCACTTCAGGGAGCTAAGGTCAATTTTTTTGTTAAATGACTGGATACAGATTTGAATCCAAGACTTTCTGGCAAGAAACTAGCCACTAAGCTACCACATACAGACACACTAGTACTGAATTCAGCTTTTGTTTAATGTACAGTTAACTTTTCTAACAGAGATTTAGTTAATATAGCAGAGCTTTGGTTAATATAACAGAGCTTTAGTTAAAATAACAAAGCTGTAGTTAAACTAAATACCCTATAAATGTATATTATGAAACAGACAATACATCTGTCTGTCACAAAAACTCCATCTAAATGGCCAACAGTAGCACCATGACACTTGTATATGTTATTCTGGCTATCATTGTTAAGCCAACTATGCTATTTTCAACTTTCAACATTATTACTGAAATGTCATGTTGGACTTGCATTTGAAATCCAAATCATGAAGATGCAGGAGCAATCACTCTAAGTCACACATTTGGATTTAACTGACAAGTGCTTCACGAATGGACAGCTATATGTAGGACTGTCAAGGGCAAGGGATCCCTCATTACTGTTCAGCATTGCTGATAATTAACATGAGAAAAATTCCCACTTCCATAAGAAAATTATTTTTCACCGACATCTGTTTAAATGAGAACAAATTTGGTAGACTTCCTGAATTCAGTTAATCCCAGTGGCTTTCCTCAGCAGAGATAAGTGCTGAAAGTTCAGTGCCTAATTATGCTGATACACCATCTGGACCCACTGAGGCTGTGCAATGGGTCCAAACAGATGGTGAAAGATTTACATGCTTATATCATTTGAAGCAACCATTTTAACTGGCCCATTTGAGCTGAACTACATCCTCATTCCGAGGACTCAACTCATTTCAAGCTACTAGCTGTTTTTATTTAAACAATTACAAATTAATTCCTGTTTGGCTGGCAATTGCAATCACAATCAATAAAGTGCAAGGGCAATCACTCTAATTAACAAGCTTGACTGGCGGGTGCTTCTCGCATGGACAGCTGTGTGTGGTTTTGTCAAGGACAATGAATCCCTCAACACTGTTCATCATTGCTGACAATTAACAAGAGACTATACAAATATTGTATATATAGCCAAGTATTGAAATACTCTACAATATCTGGGTAAATTAAATTAATTATGCTGAATAATAAATGAGTCTGAATCTGTTTAAAGTTGAATGAAGAATTGACACCACAGCACACACGACACTCCCATAAGCGCTCCGAACCCCACCTTCAGCAGGAAAGCAAAGAGTTCCAATGACACCAGTAACCGTCTGATTGTATATTTGTCTCGCCTTTCCCTTGAGTGGTCAGCATCGGCCAGATTCCCTGGTAACTCCTCGCAACTCTATTCTTCTCAGACTGTAATGACCTATTTGAGTCTGAATCTATCATGAGCGAAGCCGGGTAATAAAACTAGTTTTAGATAAATGATTTTCACATGAATACACCCCCCTTCCCTCCCATAAACGAATTTACATGAATTCAAAAATATCACTTCAACAGATTATCCCCCCAAAAACTTGAAGAAAACAAAAGGATACAGTTACCACATATAAACAGAACCACAAAGTAGAGACACACAAAAATGCCTGGAAAGTGCACACCACCATAAGCCCGTATACCATCGTACATGACAGCATTCCAGTCCTCACCAGTCAGAATCTGTAGATGAAATTTCCAACACTGTTTGAGCTTCTTTGCCTCAACAGCAGTTATGTCAACCCTATCTCACTCAGTTTTAGTTATTTTAACTCTTTGTTTTAATGTGTCGTGGTGGCATCAGGTTTCTTTTTTTCTGGTGGTACCGGCACACTTTTTTGTTTTGGCATCAATTTGTGAAGCAATACTGCAATAGCCAGGATAAGTGGACAACTCTGCAGTACATAGCAGGGTACTTACTCTGATAACCTAAAAGATGTCTGAAGGTTGAGGTGCCGATGAAGAATCTAAAGGTATTCTGGCCACGTTAGGCGTCACGCTGGTTTGGAAAAAAAAAAGTGGAGGGTACAGTTCCAAAAACCTGGCAGAGGCTGGGATCTGCCAAGGTGGATACAGGACACTGAAGGAGCACTGGTTATGAAAGTACATAGGGCTGGGGAACTTGCTAGAGGAAGGAAGACTTTCAGGTGTGAGAGCAAAGTTCTTTAAAGAATCTGCTGATTGGAGAATATTACTGGCACCTTTGTTTCTAGAAGAAAAAAAAAAGGTTTTTTAGTGGCATAGTGGCTGGACACTTTCCTGCCAGTCCAATGGTACTGGGTTCTAAATATCCATCTGGGCAGATTTTTCATATGATCTCCTGTCTTAAGTTGACTAAGTCAAAAGTCAGCACCAGAAAGTGTCAAGGCAAGCCTGCACATTGTTGACCACGTTATGCTCATGTGCCAGCTGGTCTACAAAAAAAACGGATCTGTCTTAGACAATGGGGGGATTGAAGGACTCTTTTCCATGCTTTCAGGTGTACTGGGATGAAGAGCTAGCTCTATATTTTACAGATAACTCAGCACTCGATAGTTGATGTTGTCAGCGTTACACTGACCACCCTTTTATTTGTTCATTTGAGAGATATTTTATCAAGTTGAGCACCATGATGTTAAGTTAACTACTAACATAATTATTTGTTACAGCAGTATTCTAATATTGTACCCTAACACTCCCTGATCACTCTGACATATAATATCTGGGAAATATCTGGCACTGTCATCTTCATGCAGGATGCAATTTTTAGTTATTTTGAAGTTCCACCCTGGCTTTTGCTGGGGGCCCTATATATAGCCAGGTCTAAATATGGCTTAACGGGTGAACGTGGTATCCTGGACCTCTCTATGGGTGATCCTCATCCAAATAGTGGCACTTTGTGTCACCAGGTGTTTATCGCCTGTGTGATGTATTAGTGGGGTACAACTTACCCACATACCGCATATTATCTGTATGTTGCACAGCATCTAAATTATGTTGATCGATTTACACCAACCCCCCCCCCCCCCACCCCCACCCCTCCACAGTCACATATCTTGTTAAATTCGCTGGTACCGAAAAAATAAAACAGCATTCATAGCTATGATCAATCAATTGGTTTATCCCTTTGGGGCTGCCACCTAAAGGTTTGCCATTCTATCCTGAGAGTAAAGAAATCTGGATGGCACAGTAACAAGGTAGACCCCCACTGAAGTTATAATTAGGGTACTAGTAAGAGGTAGCAGGCAGTACTATGCAGGTAAGGACGAGTCTTATGAAAGCTCTTTATGCTGTTTAAATTCACATTATATATCTCCATCTACTTTACCATCTTTGTCTACAACAATGCCTAAATGATGTAGCAGCACTTCACACTTTTCGCCCTCCACATCTTTTGAAACAAACTAGCAGTTTTCTATCTTTCTTTGTTTTCCTCAACTTCTGGAATGCCTCACAGTGGCAGGGAAGAAAGAGATCTCTGGAATGAGCTCTTCTGTTCACTTCGCATAAAGTATTTTCAATGTCTCTGATTTTTCTGCGGTCCATCTTCTGCATGATTGAAATCTGGCTCTGTTACCATTGTATTTGTTAAATACTGTTCTCTGTGGTGCCCTGTCTGATGCCAATCTTGTTACATGGCCAAACCATTTGATTTGCTGTCTACCAGTACAATATTGGTTCTGTGCCGATTCTCCTCCTCACATCATCGTTCCTAAATCGACCTTTCCTTGTGACACCTAGCATTTTCGTAAACATTTCCTTTCTGTCTAGCAGTTCTGTACATAAATCAAACTGACATCTCACCTGAAAGACAGTCAGCAGTGATGGCCAGAATGAGTCAAAGTTACTGCGAGGTTTTTCGCTGTCAGGGAAGTTAAACTTGCCACCAAACAACTGCATCCCCAGCAAGGCAAAAATGACAATAAACAAAAACAACAGCAGCAACAAACTGGCAATGGAGCGCATACTGTTCAGGAGTGATGCCACCAGGTTACGTAGAGCAGACCAATACCTTCATGAAACAGAAAATGTGTGCACTGGTAATGGAATAAACAATGCACATCACTATGATTTCACTAACCCTTTGCTTTTGCCTATATAAGCACCCAAACCTGCATTTCTGGTACGTGTCATGCCTCTATAAATGTTGCTTAACTGGTATGGTTATAGTGATTTGTATGCAAGAATCCTTGCTAAATGAACTGGTTTTGTTTGCACATGTGCAAATGTTAGACAGATTCACCAACTGCTATAGTTACCCCCCCCCCCCCCCCCCTAAAAAAAAACAGCATTTTTGGTTGTTTTCTTGTGACAAACATTTCCCACCCACAATCCCTGACAAACATTTCTCCTTTCTGTAGTCTGTGACCCACATCTCCCCTCTCTAGAATCCCTAACTAAAATTTATATTTCAACAATCCCTGACAAACATCTCCCACCCACAATCCTTCGACAAACATCTCTCATCTACAATCCCTGACAAACATCTCCCACCCACAATCCTTCGACAAACATCTCTCCTCTACAATCCCTGACAAACATCTCCCACCCACAATCCTTCGACAAACATCTTTTATCTACAATTCCTGATAAACACCTCCCACCCACAATTCCTCGATAAACATGTCCCATCTACAATCCCTGACAAACATATCCCACCCAAAACCCCTGACAAACATCTTTCATCTACAATCCTTGACAAACAACTCCCACCCACAAGCCCTTGACAAACATCTCCCACCCACAATTCCTGACAAACATCTCCTATCTACAATCCCTGACAAACATCTCCCATCTACAATCCCTGACAAACATCTTCCATTCACAATTTCTGACAAACATCTCCTATCTACAATGCCTGACAAACATCTCACATCCACAATCTCTGACAAACATCTCCCATTTACAATACCTGCCATACATCTTTCCTCACTACAATCTGTGACAAATATATCTCCTCTCTACAATTCCTGACCAACATCTCTACTTCTACAATCTCTGAAAAAATTACAATATCTCAACAAACATCTCCAATCCACAATCCCTTTACAAACACCTCTCACCCCCAATCCTAAACAAAAGTCTTATTAACAACCCTTGACAAACATCTCCTTTACAAAATCCTTGACAAATATCTCACAATCCCTGACAAATATCTCACAATCCCTGACAAAAATCTCCCTCCCACAATCCTTCGACAAACATCTCCCACCTATAAAACTCAACAAATAGCTTCCATCCACAATCTCTGACAAACATCTCTTACACACAGTCCCTTAAAAACATCTCCCATTCACAATCCCTCAACAAACATCTCCCATCCAAAATCCCCAGACAAACATCTGCCACCCACAATCCAGGACACAAATCATCCCTGCCTGCAGCTGGTGGCCTACCTCTACAACATTTGACACACATCTCCACAATCCTTGACCCACATCTACCTCTATAATTACTTACAAACATCTCCAACCAAAGTCCCTGAAAAACATCTCCAATTCACTCTCCATTTCTCAGAGAAAAATTCCCCCCTGCCAGCACTCTCATCTGGTGGCCTACAATCTCTGACCCATATCAGTACCTCTACAATCCCTGAGAAACATCTACCACTCACAATTCCTGATATCAATATCCTACTCGCAAGCCTGAGAGACAAATCACCCCTTCCTGTATACAGCTAGTGGCCTTGAAGACCCTGAACTATCTACCATATTTGTCACAGATCTCCACTCCCTACAATCTCTGACCCACATCAGTACCTCAACAATCCCTGACAAATATCTACCACTCACAATTCCTAACACACACACCTCCCACTCACAATCCCTAACAAACATCTCCCACCCACAATCCCTTGACCAAGCATTTCCCATCCACAATCCCAGAGACAAATAATCCCGTCTGCACTCACCTAGTGGCCTTGAAGACCCTGAGCAAGCGGGCACACCTGAGCACAGATATACCCAAAGGAGGAAAGACATCGGTGTACTGAAGAATCACCTCCAGTATGCTACACAGAACCACAAAGCTGTCAAAGCGGTTGAAGAGTGACACAAAATAGCCCTGGAACCCCAGGCTGTACATCTTGAGTAACATCTCCAGGGTAAACAGAACCACAAAAAACAGGTTGGCAATAGCTGAGGAAATAAAAAGAAAACAACAGTGTAAGATATGAGGAAGGGTGGGGGGGGGGGGGGGGGGGGGGGGGGAACTGCAGTATCTGAGAAAATAAACAGAAAACACTAGTGTAAGATGTGAGTGGTGGAAAAAATTAAAACTGTTCAGTATCTTAGAAAATAAACAGAAAAAGCTTTTCAAAAGTTGAGGAAATAAATAGAAAACAACTCTGACAAGGGAAAAGGGCAAAAAAAAAGTGTTTAACATCTGAGAGGAAAGAGAAAACACAAATATGTAAAACAATTGTGCAACACCTGAGATAGGGAAAAGAAAACAAGGGTGTAGCCCCTGAAACAGAAAAAAGGAAACAATGATGTAACATCGAAACAATTATATAAGATCTGAAAAAATAAACAGAAAACATCTGTAAACATATCTGATAATAAACTTTCTTGGTTTGAAAATGACTAAAGTTAAAGTTGAGAGGATGGACTTCATCGGCCAGTTTTTTTATCCCAAATGGCTTGTTTTCTCTTCATAAGAATGGCCAGCTGCTGGCCGAGAGCAGTGCACAATGCACAAACTTCACAGCTCAAGCGATGATTGCTAGGAATCTCTGTTCAAACTGCACTGGTGTGTTGAGTGTGACTTACCTTGAAACTCATCCAACCATAAGGGCTGTGAGTAGTGCTCCGATGTTAAAATGAGTGTGTTCAGAAACACTAGCACAATGACCGCCCAGTAAAATGCCTGAGACTTGACAACCCTGCGACACAGCCTGCGACATCTCCTGTTCAATTTCTGTAGTCGCTGTCTGTTATGTTTGGATGTAGACAATTGAAATCAAAGTTACAACATCCCTTTAGATATGAGACGAACTGTATTTTAACAGAAAATTCTCTAAGCAAAATATATATTTCTTCTTCTACTGCACCTACCCTTCAAAGGGTGGTTGGAATGTTGAAAAAGGCTATACTATCTGGTTAAAATGTTGTATTGCAGTCTTCAGCTAGGCTACATATCTGGTTGGAATGTTTTGAAGTCTACAGCTAGGCTACAATTTTTGGTTGGAATGTTCTATTATAGTCTACAGTTAGGCTACAATATCTGGTTGGAATGTTGTATTACAGTATACAGGTAGGCTTCAATATCTAGTTGGAATGTTGTATTGCAGTCTACAATATCAGGTTGGAATGTTGTATTGCAGTCTACAGCTAGGCTACAATATCTGGTTGGAATGTTCTATTGTAGTCTACCGCATAGGCTACAATATCAGGTTGGAATGTTGTACTGCAGTCTACAGCTAGGCTACAATAACAGGTTGGAATGTTGTATTGCAGGTCTACAGCTAAGCTACAATAACAGGTTGGAATGTTGTATTGCAGTCTACAGCTAAGCTACAATAACAGGTTGGAATGTTGTACTGCAGTCTACAGCTAGGCTACAATAGCGGGTTGGAATGTTGTATTAAAGTCTACAGGTAGGCTACAATATCTGTGCTTTTTGACCCATCACCGATAATTTCAGCAAACTACTAATTAGTCACTCTTTACGCCATGCCTGTGGAGGATGGGGGAGGCAGGAGGCGGAGAGGGGCTCACTGTTACTAAGCCCTTAGGCTTTGGTGCCTCTTGCTAAAGAAAACAAAAATGCTTTATTAAAAAAAAAAAAAAAAAATCGAACCTAATAGGTTTTATGAAAAGGCATATAAAACATAACAGCAAACAAATAACTATTTAAGCAAGCTATTTTAAACACATGAATACCAGCACAACCTTATTTATGCAAGTGCACATCTAAATGTTGGCAGTCTCTAGTTATATGTGTTTCTGAAGGACATGGAAATAGAAACCATCGCTGGTGCTGTCTCAAACATACAGAACACATAACAAGGACACCGTGGATGGTGTTATCTCAAACACAGAGGACGTAGAATTAGAAATCATAGCTAGGACACAGAGCAATAAACTACAGCTATGATGAAGAAAAAGAAACCAACTACAGACACAGAAAGAAACTACAGCCCTAAAACTGAAAAAAGAAACTATAGCTATAACACAGAATAATCTTCTTTCACGTTCACTCTTAACTCTTTGAGTCCCAAGGAACGCATCGTACATTCATTGGTTCCTACCTAGGAGGCCAATGAACGCATGATGTGCCGATGTTATTACTTTGTTCACTACCCCGTGGGCCTGTGATGCTAAACCCCCTGGGACTCAAAGAGTTCAAAGGGCGGTTGGCAAGTACTGTTGTGGTTAACAGCTAGTCTGCAATATTTGTCTTTTTGATTTGACTTTTTTTATGACAAAGGGCAGTGGGTCTAACCCCCCCCCCCCCCCCCGCAGTGGGTCTAACCCCCCCCATAGTATAAGAAACTGCAGGTTGTGCTATCTCAAACATATCGCTAGTCCTCACAGCCACAATCAACCTTTTCTTCTGGAACCACGACTGCTGCAGTTCCACAGCTTCAACCTCCTCCTCCTCCTTGTCCTCAGGATCCAACTCGCTGGCAATTTTAGCTGCAGAAAAAAAAAAATTATGTACAGCGATTAACAGTCATGCTGACTCTCTCAATATAGTTTCCAGCACAAGATTACAGCATCTGGATACTTTCCAGACTATCACATAGCTACCTGAATATATAAAAACTCTTAGTCTAATGCCGAAGTTTTTGAAATGCAGAGAGAATTTACGGTTAACCTGAAACATTATGTTGTTTTTAATCTTAAGCTATTAAAATTTATAAAATGCACACAAGGTTTATGTACTACTGCAACACTTTTGCAATCTAAAAAAATTAAAGTTTATAAACTGCAAAGGAACTTTTTGGACACCCTGCAACATTTATATATTTCTAAAATTATTAATGCTTTAACCAAACACACATTTCATGGGCAACTTGCAACATTTAAAATCTAAAAGTGTTAAGGTTTTTGAATCACATATAAATGTTACGGAGAACATGTATATTTATGTATCTAGTTATTAATTATTAATGTTAATGTAATCAACCTCACACAAACTTTATGCTACAATATTCAAGTTAATAAACTGCAAAAGAAAAAAAAACATTTCAAATCCAGATTTTCTTAACTACACATTGGTATGTTATTTGTCTGTTTTCTAAAAATTAAAAAAAATAGGGTTGCTTACAGCCCCCCCCCCCCCCCCCCCCCCCCCCCCCGCCATTCTTAAAAAAAGGTGCCGGTACTTACAAGTGTATTTTTTTTTCCCCTGCCTACCACCACAGGATTATCAAAAAAAAAAAAAGCCCTGGCTGTTGATACTTACAGTGTCTGGGTGTTGCTCCTTCTTCTACAACATGCTCATTCTCTGGATCAATGTCCTCTGCAAGTCAAACACAAACACAAACTATAGTACAAGTCATCTACAGAAACCTGGTCACACATCCAGTATGCAGTTCTGGACTTATACTTTTTTTGTAACCACAAATCAGCATTTGATAAATGATGTGGTTAAGGTCATGCTGGGTATCTTTACTTCTCAGGACATTGCCTGGTATCCATTTTAGGCTGGACTGACCTGGGAACCACGGCCAACTTAAAAAATAAATCTGTTAGATATAACTATTTTAAGCATTCTTGGTGAATATTTTCACTGACTCTAACAGTTTGGTTGGGTAGTGAATGTTATTCCATGCTGTCAGGATCTGTACTAGTCTCAAATATCTTACCTATACTGTAAACATTTTTAGTATTTGTCATCAATGTCATCTTCCTTATCCAACAATTTTCCCTTGTGGGTTCTGGGCCTCAAGTGTAGGAGGGCAGGGAGACAGGGTATATCCAATGCTCTTTAAAAAGAATGTCATTAAAGGTTTGCAACTTAATGTATTGGGCTAAAATACACAGATATCACATTCTAGCTGTAAACCAGAACATAATGTGTCGACCACTATTTTAAGGACAAAAGCTGCAGAAGGACAAGATTACAAAATGATTACAGCTGCAGTTTGATCATCTGATGTGGCTATGAGACACCAAGGTTTGATTTATGTGGGTTACAAAAAGACAGTTGTCGTGATCTTTCTGTCAGTGGTGTGAGAAGATGAGAAATATTGACATCTTAGAAGCCGACCAACACGAAGATGGCTAATAAACAGGATATCGAAAGTGACTCCTTCAAGTGTGAAAGATTGGAAAAAATTATCATGAGGCATGGGAGAACTGGCAAGAGTTTCTTACAGGCAGACTGTGATGACACCTTGATTGTGAACGTTCTGCAAGAGACCGAGTTGCTACATGCATGATGATGATGAGAGTGACGTTCTGCTTGCACTGCTGAAAATCACACTGGGGGGGGGGGGGGGGGGGGGGGAGAAGGCCCTCACCATGTAATACTTTAGAGTTTAAAGGTTCACTGGTTTATCTGGTTCACTGCCCCAGATTTTATCCCATATGGCCTGGTCTCTCTTAGCAGAATGGTTAGCTGCCTGTGGGGAGCAACACACAGCATGAGCTCAATAGCTCCGACAGTGATCCCTAGTTCTTTCACTTCATCAACTGTTGTTGTCACCACCCTTCAACAAGCAACTGTGGGTATAATGGACGACACAAGCGGGTTATCAGAGAACTAAGGGAGAGCCAGGGACAACTCTAGACAGTGAGGACTAGATAGCTCACAGATCATCCTCACTGAGCATCGACCCATTCTGTCCATAAGTGCTCGGATCCCTTCCTCAGCATATTTACCAGCAAGCAGTCTAATGAAACCAGTTCTCTGTTGCTTTACTCTTATTCGCTGGCCCTTGCATTGTTCTCTTGGCTTCACCCATTCTACGGTGCAATTCTTGCAGTTTGTTCAAGGTAAGTAAAGTGAGAAAGGACCCTTTTCCACACATCCAGGTGTATTGGGCATATAGAGCGAGACCTATATTTTATAGACCAGTCAGCCCTTGGTGGGTGATGTGGTCAGCATCATGTTGTCCGACTTTATTTCCTAGGACTGCACGTGGTACCAGATTAAGGCTGTGTCGACCCGGGAGACAAGGTAATTTTTTAAGAAATCCTGCTCCACCAGGACCTTTCAATCCACAGGCGAGCATCTAGCTGCGACACAATGGCTGCTCCCTTCTAGTCAAAGAAGCTGATGTATAGACATTATGTAGTTTATTTAATTTTCCTGCCTTGAGGGTTATGCTATCAGCCTGGTCCATAGTTTGCCGGCCTCTTTCACTAGCCTGACCAGCAAGCCTATCAGTGTTTGCTTCCTCTTACACCCTACATATACTGGTAAAAAATCAAAGGTTTTATTTTGATTGTCACCCATGATCTCCTCAGCGATTTCAGCTACAAGAGACATTACACTTTAATGGTAAAGCCAGCTGTCTGACTATCCGTGCCTGCAGCAGAAATGATACCCTGATACAGACTGTGGGGGCAACACAAAATTCACTGAGATACAGATGATCATCTTGTTAGAACTGCTGCTACAACTGCGAACACAGGCGATACACATGAAAAGACCTGATACGAGGAGCCCAAGAAGAAGATCAAACAATGACATTAAAGACACTGTGTACATTCACAGCTGACAGAAGCCAGCTTCAGACCATGGAAATGAGATATTTGAGAAAGGTGGTCCAAGTGACAAAAAGGGACAAAGTTCGCAACCAGATAACACTTCATGACCTTGAAATCCAGACCTCACAAAAATGAGTGGATCAGTCTCAGTTACATTGATTTGAACATGCATGCAAAATTGGAGAGAATTGACCATCATGGCAGCCATGGGAAGTCTAGAGCCAGGGAACCAGACCTAAAGGACAACCCAGGGTTCCCTGGGAAGACAACATCTGACAGTCCCTGACTGACAGAGGACTGTAATGGAACAAAGCCAAAAAACCAAACTGCAGACAAAGAAGTCTAGTGATCTTGGGCAAACCTCAACAACCCAGGGTAGGCAAGAATCGACTAACTGTAAAGCAAAAGTATACATCCCCATGGAGTGAAAATGGTTTAGTGCCACAAATTAAGCATTTGACCATAAATTGTTTCTCTCCACAAAACTGAACAGCAAAATTGGAAGCTGGTAATGATGATGAAAGCCAGTTTTTATTAACACCTGTGAACCTCATAACCCTGGCAAATCCCTCTTGGCAATGGGCCACATCCAGGCTAAGAAGCCATAAATCACTCTCTGACACTTCCTTCAAATTACAGTTATTTGGAACCTTGACAGACGTCTTGTAAAATGGAAAGAATGAAGTTTAAAACTGAATTTTAATGATTAAATTATAGCATTTTATGTTATGTTTTTCTAACAATTCTGCTGCTCATCCCTCTTTCTGCCCCATATAATGCACCTTGCCTGATAGGGTACTGTTCCTGTGTAACAGTCTACATTTTATGTATGTTTTTACATCTTATGTTTAGTCTGGGAACTTAAAGAACTGAAAAAATTGTTGCTTCCTATAAGGGTAGTATATTTGTGCCATCTGGAAGTAGTATACCCATGAGTTTATTAGTACCACTTTCATGAACTTTCTCGGTCATTAGCAAGGATTTTGTGGGAGTGAAAGAGATAGAAGCCCATTACACTTCTGGAGTCAGCATTCCCAAAACTCAACATATCGTACCTTCCCCCGGGTGTGTTTCCGTGCCCAACTGTGGGGAAAGCAAGAATAGACCCACTGCCACTCCAGCAAGCATGTCATAAGAGTGTATAATTTGGAGGTTTCTTTAGAAGTTAGAGTGTTTCTGCCTGAGAGGCAAGGAACCAACAGTCTGCATACAAACAGGTCAGATTTGTCAAATGGATGTATATGCAACACTTAGGTTCTGGAACAAGACTAAACCTAGAGGCGGACGAACAATCAGAACTTTCCACCGGAGTTTACAGCTGGTGAACGCAAAGAATATATCCTACCACCACCATCACTATCATTACCATCACCATCATAACCATTCTGTAGGGCTGTTTACACATCATACATGACTTAACAGCCAATACCTGCATTTCACATTATTCTGTATAACCCCTTTAATACTGGCCCGCAATCTAGTTTGGCATATCTGGCCTCTCTTGACGATGTTTGTTGTAATCTTTATCTTGGACAGACTCGCTTAGTCAGTCCATGTGTTTCCAATTTCTGTGAGGTGAACCTTGAACTTAACTGAAATTACTACAGCATTGAGTTGATATGTAAACTTCAATGAACCATCAGAAGTTCTGAAGTGAACATTTATAAACTTCACTGAAACATCAAGAGTACTGAGGTAATATTAAATTACACAGCAAATTTAAAAGTTAAAGTCAAGAGCATCAACTTAATTGCACCAAGTTTTAATTTCTTTATCTGCAGAAGCGCTAGCCACTCACTGGGAGTGTCACACAAAAGCACAAACTCTGTAGCACAAGTGATGATCTCCATAGATCTCAGTATAAACTATGTTCATAAGGTGGATGACTCATCAATGAAATGTACCCATGTCCTTTGCAATTGAAGGCTAACAGTTTGGTCACTTCATTCTGGACAGCACCCAAATAATCAAAAGTGTTGAGTTGAAACAAACTTCTATAAAACATCCAAAGTGTGGACATCAGTCCTAAATTCCACTAAAATATAGTTTTGCTGTAAATTTACAGACTCACAAACCTAGACAGGAGTCTAATACAGCAGTTCTCAACATGTGGGTCATGACCCATTTTGGAGTCGAATGAGCCTTTCACAGGCATCGTCTAAGACCATCGGAAAACACATGTTCATTAAGGTTATGATTTAGCAACGGAGACATTTTTGTGGTTAGGCATGAGGAACTGTATTAAAAGGGCCGCGGCATTGAGAAGGTTGAGAACCAATAGTCTAGTACATACCAGCTTGAGTTATCCAATCCAGATACCCCCTCAGATCTTCCTCAAGTTGTTGCTTCTCTCGTAGTTTTTGGAAATCACCACGGGCTTTGGCCTTTTCTCTTTCCTTGGAAAACTCACTGTAGTGTACAACATTGAATCATTACAAAAAACTTACGTCATTTAAATTGACTTAACCAAAATTGACGGTACCGTAACAAATGTTCGTCACGTACAACAGTGACAGACTGGGCACAAATGTCTTGGTGGTTCAGAACATATCTTCCAGGACAGGTCAAGCAGATATTACAGCAACAACAAATGAAAACCATCGCTAAGATTGATGCAGCAATAAAGGTCAACTGTTGTTGAAGCATATGTTCACTAGGGAAAGAATTAAATGTGTCAATTGAAACAGTTCAAAGAATTGTTCATATGAATATGCAATATACGAAGATAGTGGGTACCATAGTGGTTATACAAATGCAGATAAAATGAACGTGGTAAACAAGTGGTTCAGTGAGCAACCACAATGCTTTCTTCTCTTTCAGATGGCATTCGCTGCCTACCTAAGGTGACTTTTTCTAACCAAACCATGGTACATAATTCATTTAAAATACATGCTTTTTTATATTTTATTTTTACTTTGCTGCTGCTATTAATGTTTCTTTCATGCTTCTGTAATAAAGCCAGGAACGGGTTTCTTCTTCTTCTTCGCATCAACCGGCTGTAAACTCTGGCGAAAGTTTTTGTTGTTGTTGTTGTTGTTAGTCTACTTCTGGACTCTAGTCCTATTCCAGAACCCGAGTGTTGCACTTAGATCCATTTGACTCATTTGTATGTGGACTGTTGGTTCCTTGCCTCTCAGGCAGACGCACTCCGACTTCAAAGAAAGCTCCCAATTAGTCCCCACAATAGGGCCCTGGAACCCACAAAGGAAGGAGTAGGTTTCAAATTAACATTATGTATGCAATTCAAGCTAAAGAGATAGTTCTGTATGACATCATGGGTCTCGATAACTGCTGATAAACACTGGCCACTGCAAAAACTAGTCTACATTTGCTAACAATATTTTATTTACAAATGTGAAACACTTACCCGCTAAGGACACCAAGAACAAGGTTAAGGACAAAGAATGAACCAATGATAATGAGGCTGACAAAATACATCCACGGCCATCCACTCCCTACAGCATTATTAATCTGTGAAATAGAACAATTAGGAGAAATGAAGACAAGTGGGATAACAAACATTCAAAGCATTACCAAAACAATATTACTGAAATTTTATACATAATTGATTACACTTACAACAACATTTGGCTGCTTTGTTAAAGTCAAATCATAGAGCACATTAACACTTACATCATAAAGTACATCATTACTTACACCAAAAAGCATACTGAGATATCATACAGAGCACTAACACTTACAGCATAAAGCACACTGACACATCATACCGCACACTGACACTTACACCATAACATAATGCATGCTGACACTTGAACAACAAAGCGCTCTGAAACCTACATCATAAACCACACCAACACTTACATCATAAAGCACACTGACACTTACATCATAAAACACACAGACACTTACAGAATAAAGCAAACTGATATTTACATTATAAAGCACACTGACACTTACATTATAAAGCACACTAGCACTTTTACAAAAAAGCACTGACACATCAAAAGATACCCCAATACTTACACCATAAAGCATATAGAAAATTACACCAATAAGCACACAGTCATTTAAACTATGAAGGACACAGATATGTACACCACAAAACATACAGACACTTACATTACAAAGCACACTGGCACTTTTACCAAGAAGCACTGACAACACTCCAATACCTACATCATAAAAGACACAGACACTTACATCATAAAGCACACAGAGACTTACAGCATAAGGGACACAGGCACTTACATTGTAAAGGACACAGACACTTAAATCATAAAGCACACAGAGACTTACAGCATAAAACACAAGCACTTACATCGTAAAGGACACAGACACTTACATCATAAAGGATGCTGACACTTACATCATAAAGGACACACACACCTACATCATAAAGCACACACTTACATCATAAAGGACACACACACTTACATCATAAAGCACACAGAGACTTACATCATAAAGGATGCTGACACTTACATCATAAAGGACACTGGCACTTACATCATAAAGAACCCTGACACTTACATCATAAAGTACACAGACACTTACATCATAAAGCACATTGGTCCAACCCTCCATGGTTATACACTGGAAGACTGTCAGCATAGCCAGACCAAAATTGTCAAAGTTTGTGATACCATAGTTGGGTCCTTCCCACCACTCCCTGCACACACCCTTCTTCTCACAGTCGTAGCCGCCACCACAGATCCGAGGCTGGTCATCAACAAATTCATCTGTTGAGAACAATCAATTCTAATAATAATAGTAATAGTAATAATAATAACAACAACAACAACAACAACAATAGTCAACACAAATATTCTAGACTGGAGAAACAAATAGCTTAACGTTTCTAGTCCCAGGCAATGTGTGGGGCACAGTAGACTTTTTCCCATAAATCCCAGCCATTGCATAATGTGCTCACACAACATTTCACTAATGATCAGAGTAAACAAAAGAGATCTATCTTCCCGACTGGCCTCTTCTGCTGCATAAGTGGCCTGTTTGAAATTTATGCACTTCATAGTGGTCACTGACTTCCTTGGTTATTTGCTGCGAGAACACCATAGGACTGAAAGAGTTAATTTTAGTAGACGTTTAGGCAGACCAGGAAGATGGAAAGTTAGTTGTATATCCTTTACAGAACATTGCAGAACCAACCACATAATTTTTTGGTTGTGTTTTTTCTAGGCATATTTTATGTTCAGTAGTTTACCACTGCTTCTGAATACTCGGCTCTCTGTACTGCTTTTCAACTCTCTGTACCACTTTCTCAGCTCTCTGTACCACTTTCTCAGCTCTCTGTACCGCTTTCTCAGCTCTCTGTACTGCTTTCTCAGCTCTCTGTACTGCTTTCTCAGCTCTCTCTCTGCTCTCTGTACCGCTTTCTCAGCTCTCTGTCTGCTTACTCAGCTCTCTTACCGCTTTCAGCTCTCTGTCTGCTTTCTCATCGCTTTCTTTCTCAGCTCTCTGTACCGCTTTCTCAGCTCTCTGATCCGCTTTCTCAGCTCTCTGTACCGCTTTCTCAGCTCTCTGTACTGCTTTCTCAGCTCTCTGTACCGCTTTCTCAGCTCTCTGTACTGCTTTCTCAGCTCTCTGTACCGCTTTCTCAGCTCTCTGTACTGCTTTCTCAGCTCTTTCTCAGCTCTCTGTACTCAGCTCTTTTTCAGCTCTCTGTACCGCTTTCTCAGCTCTCTGTACCGCTTTCCCAGCTCTTGCTGTACCGCTTTCCCAGCTCTCTGTACCGCTTTCTCAGCTCTTCGCTTTCTCAGCTCTCTGTACTGCTTTCTCAGCTCTCTGTACTGCTTTCTCAGCTCTCTGTACCGCTTTCTCAGCTCTCTGTACCGCTTTCTCAGCTCTCTGTACCGCTTTCTCAGCTCTCTGTACTGCTTTCTCAGCTCTCTGTACCGCTTTCTCAGCTCTCTGTACCGCTTTCTCAGCTCTCTGTACCGCTTTCTCAGCTCTCTGTACCGCTTTACCAGCTCTCTGTACCGCTTTCCCAGCTCTCTGTACCGCTTTCCCAGCTCTCTGTACCGCTTTCTCAGCTCTCTGTACCGCTTTCTCAGCTCTCTGTACTGCTTTCTCAGCTCTCTGTACCGCTTTCTCAGCTCTCTGTACCGCTTTCTCAGCTCTCTGTACCGCTTTCCCAGCTCTCTGTACCGCTTTCTCAGCTCTCTGTACTGCTTTCTCAGCTCTCTGTACTGCTTTCTCAGCTCTCTGTATTGCTTTCTCAGCTCTCTGTACCGCTTTCTCAGCTCTCTGTAAAGCTTTCCCAGCTCTCTGTACCGCTTTCTCAGCTCTCTGTACCGCTTTCTCAGCTCTCTGTACTGCTTTCTCAGCTCTCTGTACCTCTTTCTCAGCTCTCTGTACCGCTTTCTCAGCTCTCTGTACCGCTTTCTCAGCTCTCTGTACCGCTTTCTCAGCTCTCTGTTTCTCAAAGCTCTCTGTACCGCTTTCTAGCTCTCTGTGCTTTCTCATTACCGCTTTCTAATAAGCTCTCTGTATACTGCTTTCTCAGCTCTCTGTACTGCTTTCTCAGCTCTCTGTACCGCTTTACCAGCTCTCTGTACCGCTTTCTCAGCTCTCTGTAAGCTCTCTGTACCGCTTTCTCAGCTCTCTGTACCGCTTTCTCAGCTCTCTGTACTGCTTCAGCTCTCTGTACTGCTTTCTCAGCTCTCTGTACCGCTTTCTCAGCTCTCTGTACCGCTTTCTCAGCTCTCTGTACCGGCTCTCTGTACCGCTTTCTCACTCTCTGACTGCTTTCTCACTCTCCTGTACTGCTTTCTCAGCTTCTGTATTGCTTTCTCAGCTCTCTGTACCGCTTTTCAGCTCTCTGTACTGCTTTCTCTCTACCGCTTTCTCGGCTCTCATTTTCAAAATGTTATGTTTTGCACGCTTACAGTTGGGGGAGTCACAGCTGGTTTTGCTTTTAAGTATTGCCTCAATTTGACGAAGTTCAGACTAATTATAATTAAAGAATTAAAAGGCGAATGAGATGATGAGTAGTGCCAGGGGTAACTCAAGAGTTACTTCCCCCTTTTGAGACTTTCCTCTATCATTTTCATACTAGGCATGATTGGGGGAGTCAAGTTTTTGCTCTCCTCAATTGACGAAGTTCAGACTAAAGTTCTGTAGTCTTGTTGCCTGTGTTTGAATTCCCTACCAGGGTTCCAGATGGTAATTCCAGATGGTAGTTCTAGATGATAGTTCCAGATGGTAGTTCCAGGTGGGAGTTCCAGAAGTAAATCCCAGCGTAGCTGCAGATGCCCGATTGTCTGGACTGGACTGGAAGATTCGGCATGCCTGATGTGTCTCCGAGCTACAGCTAAGTGGGAACATCTGTTACTTTCCCAATCCATAATTTTATCCACAGCCTTTTGATTATTATCTTGAATTCCATTTCCAAATAAATGTTAATTTTACTGTTTTATGGAGTTTCATTTAAACTGTAAGCACTGTGTCAGTGAACTTAAGAACATTTAAATATACAAGTTTATTACCAGTAGGGAATAAGATGTGGGCAAACCCTGAATCCTCTCCTTTAACCAGCAAGGCTGGGAAAAATATAATTTCTTAGGATGTTCAATGTTTGTGTTTCCCTCTGTAGATTGCACATAGTGCATTCGCTAGTGTAAAGCAAATTTACCAGCCACAGTTGGGATCAAACCTGGTACCCTGGCATTAAGAACGCCTAAGCTACAGACAGCAACAAAAAGACAGTAAGGAGATAATATACAGGCAGACCTACAAGAACTCAGAGTCACCAGATGGAAAGAGAAGGCCAATCACATAGACAAATGGAGGTGGGTGATATCTGCAGCCATCAAGCTCAAGGGCTCAGAATGCTGTGGAAACAAACATCCTTGACTGCAGAATAAGCAGTATTATAAAGTTTGCTAGGGATGTGTCTACATCCTAGTGTGGCAGAGAAGGTTCTAAGTTCCAATGACACCTAAAAGAGCTTTGTCGACAGTAGCTTGGTCTAGGAAACTACCAAAATTGCAAACACTGCGAACTAAACTTGGCTGTCAGCGCACAGTCACAATACAGTGGATTCTGTTTCATTGTATAGTGCCTGGGCATGAGACAGCTGGTCAACTGGGAGGTGAATGTGTGATAAAAAAGCAGCTGGATGTACCACTCACACATCAGCAGCAGAAAAGGATAATGATTTCAAACAGAAAACCACAAGACCCAGCATAAAAATGCCTCATTTATTATGAACAGGTTAGAAAAAGTGATTTTGCAGCCCCTCAGAACAGGGCATAAATGACTACACATTTATAGGCACACAACATTTAAGATAGATGTATCAACTTGATTTGAAAGAAGCTTGTAGGCTGCAGAGGTATCACATGTACATCCATTTATGGAGGACACAACCAGAGGAAGAGGAAGAGGAGGAGGATGATAATGATGATGATGATGACGATGATGATGATGATGATGATTATGAGGACGACACTGACTACACAGTACTGACTTACTTTTTGTTGTGTTAAACTTGAAGCACGCATAGTGGAGTCTGCCGTAAAATAGTTCGAGTCCAACAATAGCGTAAATGATAATAACAAAAATGACTAACAGAGCAATATGTAACAAAGGGACCATAGCACGAAGTATGGAATTCAACACCACCTGCAGACCTGGGGGGAAAAAAAGAAACACAAATATAAAAACCACCCAAAACAAACATAGAAAATAATGACAGGAGAGGCACAAACATAAATACATTATGAAACCAGAAATAATTACACTGATTAAAGAAACACTTCTTCTTTTTCTCATGCAGACAACATCACCCAGTGAAGTGCCAACTGCTCTGTAGAAATATGACCGATGCATCACTGGTATGTGAAGGTCATTGACATTTCAACTGTTTACTCTCACAGTGAATTCTCCTCTTGATTATTTAGATTTCTTAGTGATGACGTTCCAAAAAAACATTTCTATAAACTGCATTTTTATACCAAGTTTATGGATTAACTGTTCATCTTCTTCTTTATTCAGCACTGTGAGTTAATGGTGTTTGTCACTGCAGATATCCCCTGCCTCTTTTCATCTCTGTGACTGGTCTTCTCTTTCCTACTGGTAACTATAGATTAGTTAGTTAGTTTAGTCTTTCCTCTTGAGTCTAGGGTGGCACATAGGCAGAGGTCATAGTTCTTCATGTCTGATGGGGCAGTCTTGTATTATCCATTCTGAGTGCTTGACTGATGAAGTTCCAGCAGCGCTTCCTTGTAAAATTGGATACATAATCTTGCTTGGTCTCTTGTCTTATTTGCTTATTGGATCTGAAATCTCTCCAGCGAAGATATAGTATTGAATTTAACAAGTTTGAACAAGGCATCATAACATTTAGAGCTAGAAATCTGATTCTAAAACAAAGGATGTTTTACGATGGCGGCTTGTCGGGTCATCGATCAACAGTCTTATGACAAGCTAGAGGGAAACACGTCCCGTCATCTTGGCCCAAACTAGAAACTGACAAAAGATTAACTTTTGGTATTTAAAAGAGAGAAAAAAAGATAGGACAGTTGGTCTAATTGAAGCTTAGTGCATAATAAGTGTCTGGTCTATTAACAAAGCCTAGTGATTCATCTAAGTTCATAGGTTCCTGATTCTGTCACTTCAGAGCATTTCAGGTCCACTACTTCCATTATATGTTATGTTTTTTTTTTTTTCAAGGGCTGGGTGGTCTCGAGGCATGACGTCCGCTTCGAGTGCTGGAGGTCCCGGGTTCAAGTGGCAGTGAAGGCTGGGATTTTTTTTTTTTTCATGCGGACTTCTAGTAATTTCCCCTGGTCTCTGGGTAGTAAGATCGGACAGCCATGTGTATTGTTACGCACATCGAAAAAATCCCTAGGCAGTTGGAAATTGAAAAGAGTAGCCTAATGGCGCTACCAGGCAATATTTGGAGTTAAAATTCTACATAAAGTATTTCAGGATCCTCGCTGGTGCTACAGAGTTCATGCACTGTGCTGAGATTTTTAAGACTCAGGCTTGAGTTAGAAGTAGAAAGGAGCACCTATAGGCTACCATCCTTGTGCCATGATGTTGATCTGTTGTTTAAACCCAAACCTAAAACTATATGTCATGTTTCTTCTCCAATACTCAGCTCTTAGCTTTACTGCAATTATTTCCTCTGTTATCTTTGTTCTCCTCAGGATTCTTTCTGACCAGTGAGAATGAGCCTGGGCATCCTGTTCCCATTGGTCCATTTCAGTAGCTGCATTGTTCACGCCAACTTTGCACACACCTTTGTAACAAAATAGGCTCCTCTCCAGAGATATTCCTAGAACAATCCAGACTAAGATACACAACGCAATCTCATCTAAAGAAGTCTTAGAGGAGGGCTTGCCACAAAGTTCATCATTGAGCTGTACACTGTTTCTAATCTTTATCAATGACTTGCCAGAACAAATCAAGGCTGAAAAAGCCTTGTACGCTGATGATCTAGCAATATGGAAGATTCATGAAAATGTAGAAAGTGGAGCCCAAAGACTAAATGAAAACCTTAGAAGACTGCATGAGTACTGGGGAAGATGGAAACTCAAGGTTAACTATACAAAGATGGTCTACACAATCTTGACCAAAAGCCATCAAGTAGCAAGGAAGAATATTAACCTGAGGTTAGACAGACACCAAGTGATGAAAGAAGAGCATCCTGCATACCTTGGAGTCACACTTGACCGGCAGCTCAGCCTCAAGAACCATATTGAAAACATAAGAATGGATACATGTCTATACTGACGGATCAGCATTTAAAGCTACCATTAAAGCAGGTTACGGAATCTACATAGGTTATCCCGATGGATCTGTTGAAGAGATTTTTGATGCATGCGGGGAATTCTGTTCAAACTATGAAGCTGAAATAATTGCACTGGAAACAGCAGTATACCACCTAAAGACTGTAATGGATGTTTACCCCTCAAAGGTCCAAAATATTGTCATCTTCACAGATTCAATGTCTGCCCTTCAAGCTCTGGAGGGCAATGAACGCTGCAGAACTGACATAGCCAAGATAATCCTGGATGCCGATCATCTTATTACCTCATACAACATCATCAATAGTGATGCAGTGGATTCCAGGTCACTCCGGCACACCAGGTAATGACAGAGCTGACAGATTGGCAAAGAAAGGAGCAACACAAGAACAACCACCTACAGCGACAACCCTCCAGACAGCAAAAACACTGATAAGAGCTATAAACAAAGAGACTTGGTTGAAACAGATGGGCCATGGGAGACACTGGAAGAGAGGTTTATAGACATATGTCTGGCCCTGATCCTAATGACAGCATTAACCATCTAACAAGAAGGGACCAGGCCACCATCTTCAGACTTAGAACGCAACATACTCCACTCAATGGACACCTAAACAGAATACAGCCACAACACTCCCCAGAGTGCCAGCTATGTAACTACCCCTACGAAACTGTTGAACACCATCTCTTTGAGTGCCCAAAACTCAGTGAGACAAGAAGAACGCTACTCCCTCCGAGACCAGACAAGTGGAACACCTTGTACGGAGGAAAAGAACAGCTTGTGAAAACATGCAAATTCCACTACATGGCATTGGGCCAAAGGGCGAAAGCTCATGCGCCGCTGGATCGATAACAACAACAACAACAACAACAAAACATAAGAAATAAGGCATTGAGGCGGTTACAGTTATTGAAGAGATATGCAGGTACAGCATGGGGATCAGACAAGGAAACTCTGAGGGGCTTACATCTTGGATATGTTCGCTCTGTGATTTAGTACAAAAACTCACTGTTTACAACCTGCTCCAAAACTAACCTAGAGACTCTTGACAGAGTACAAAATAATGCCCTCCGATGAATCTGCGGAGCTATGCGGTCTACTCCAACCGCTGCATGTGAAATCCTTTCAAATGTGGAACCCCTCGGGTTGCGGAGGCACTTTAGAAATTTATGAAAGATGTGTTCGAATGAATCGTAACCATCCTAATAGACACCTTGTAGAAAACTGGGAATACAAACAAAGAATAAAGCACAAATCGGTTTTACACTGTGTACATGAAATACAGGACAGATAAGACCTCCCAGAAAGACGTCAAGGTATTCAGAATGTTGCAAGACCTACCATCACATGCTCGCTTTACAGCTCCAGAAGTCAGAATGAAATTGGTAAACAAAGAAACCAAACCAAAGACCTTCTGCATGATGATGATGATGATAATGATAATGATGATAAACCTGTACTTACTTGGTGCTCTAGACACTAAACGTAAAGGCCTCAGTACTCTGAATGCTCTCAAAGCTTTCACATCAAACCCCTTCTCTTGCACAAATGATAAAATTTGACTAATGATACTGAAAAGAGAAAAGGGATGAAGCAATGCCATTAGACAAGACAGCATTTAAAATTAAGATATTTTAACATTAAAATGCAACACTTATAACTTCTTCTTCTTCTTTTTCGCTTCACCAGCTGTAAACTCTGGTGGAAAGTTCTGGTTGTTTATCTACCTCTGAACCTTAGTCGTGTTCCAGAACTTGAGTGTTGTGTGCATATCCATTCTACACATCTGACTCATCTTTATGCAGTCTTTTGGTTCCTTGCTTCTCAGGCAGATGCACTCAGACTTCAAATGAAGCCCTTAATTAGTCGACTCTTACGACATGCTTATTGAGAAGGCCGTGGGTCTATTCTTGTTTTCCGCAGAAGGGGGCTCCAGAACCCACACGGGGACATTGATAACTGAAATGGTAATCAATGACAACCCTGGCCACAAGAGAGTTCCATTAAGCAGATGTAAAGGTCCCTTTACATACATTCCAGTGGTGCATCGGTCTTATGAGGCTAGACTCTTATATATGTACTGACCAAATGGCCCTCGAGGGGTGACGTGGGCACATTACACTGACGAGAAAGGGGAAGGAGAGAACAAGCGACCTTTTAATCGGATTGCAACCGGCACCATAAGTTAGGGAACTTTTTGTTGGCTTCTGCAGGGGAGAAATGAGCACGTATGGGATGTCATGAGTGCA